CTGGACAGTGTCGACTGAAATCTATCTGTGCACTGTCCACTTAATTCAAAAGTTCCTTATAGTACGAGAGACGGCTGCAGAGAATCTGTCGTCATAAGGTGGACGAGCGAAAAAAATATGAATATTAGTTGAGGCACTAATTAAGAGAATACGCGAAGGTTGCCTGCGAAAATCCTGCCGAAACAGTGTTTTTCAAATTTTTTCATTAGATGAATAATTACAGTAACTATCTTTTAGAGGTGGACATGAAATGAAATCACTATGTTGTAGGAGAGCGTGAGGCGAATTCAACCATATAAGGCTGCCTGCCCCCACCCTGCCGCAACACCCTTGCAGCCTGGCTAAAAAGGTCGGTTTTTTATCAATAACTATCGTCATCAGGTGGACGCATAAATTAGGTCTCAAATTAAAGGTCTCGATCTCCTCTTTCCATCAAACTAAGGCTGCCTGCTCAAATCCTGCCGAAAGATGTGGTTGCCTCGTTTTTAAAGTTTCCGGTACGTGCACCGCGCGCTAGGTATTTGCGGAGCGCGAGGTGTTTAGTGGCGAAAAAGTCGTCTACAAAACACCTAAACGAGTTTTTATTTTTGCTCCTTGTCACTTTGCGTTACTTCTACTATTTAAATTATCGATAAGGATCTATAAAACAAAACGTCATGAAAAGCATAGTTTGATATCAAGACGAATTTAGGTCCATGATGGGGTGGGGGGGTTGAGGGGTAGATGTTGATTGGTTGCTTAAAAAAAAAAGCATGAAATTTTTTGACAAGAAACGTTTATTAAAGTACGTTCAAGTTGCATATATTATATATTCCTACATTTCAAAAATTAAAAATAGTTAAACCTAATTTTTAAAAAGCCATAATTTTCACAACTGCCAAAAGCTTCATGTGAAGATTGGTCCAACACATTACGTGCAAAAAACCGGCCTTGCGACGTGTTTCATACAGTATTTTTTGTGATTCATTCAAAATATTTAAAATTCAAAATACTTATATCCATTTCCACCAACTATTTTAGGGGATCCTTAACGATAAGTATTCCCTAAAATGACATTTCATTTTTATATGGAAAAATATCAGTTTAGGGAATACTTATCGTTAGGGCTCCCCTAAAATAGTTGGTGGAAATGGCCATTATAAACTCATCTTAACACTCACGCGGAACGCACTCTAAATCCTATTCCAACACTCAGGGATGAAATGAGATCTCATTTCAACACTGTATTAGAACACCTGCTTATTTTGGCGTGTGTGTTAAAATGAAAAACTTTTGACAACTAAAGTCAATGTCAAAAAGATGACATTTCCTAACTAAATTTCAAAATATAAATTTTGATAGTCTATCGATGAATAATAGACGGTCAGTTAATGACAGATTTTTGCTGACCGGTTTTCTCTTCTCTGGGAATTTAACCACTGATAATAGGGAACTTGCAAGTGAACTAAAATTTTCCAAATTTGTTTTAAAATCGATAGTGTATACTGCACAATATTTATATGACCAGTTTTTATTTAACTGATACCGCTCTTGTTACACAAAAAATAATACTAAATTTGAAATAAAAAAATTTCCGCCAAAACAATGCTTCCATGATGGCTACCTTTTTTGACGTCACAATTCTGTAAACAAACCTGTCAATAGGAAACTTGCAAGTAAAAAAAAATTACAAAAGCAGTCCTTTACAATATTTGTATTTGAAATTCTTCTCACAACGATAAGCAATAAAATTTATGCTCTTTTTCAACGCTGCATTAGAAAATTGTTGAACAACTCCATTGTCTTTCCTACAGAGAAAACAATTCATCTTAAAACAAGCACGAATTTCACATTTATTCTTAAAAAAAATAATCGGAAATGAAAGCTCGACGACTTCTACGTCTAGATACTGCACTTGCGGTGGTAGCCGTAGCGGCCAGAGGGTGGAATTCCTAGGCCTGGCTTCGCAAAAAGCACGCGCGCGGCGCGTTGTGTTAGATCCTGACATGTTGTTTTATAGATCCTTATCAATAATTTAAATATGAGAAGTAACACAAAGTGACAAGGAGCAAAAATAAAAACTCGTTTCGGTGTTTTGTAGACGACTTTTTCGCCACTAAACACTGTATTTGAAATTCTTCTCACAACGATAAGCAATAAAATTTATGCTCTTTTTCAACGCTGCATTAGAAAATTGTTGAACAACTCCATTGTCTTTCCTACAGAGAAAACAATTCATCTTAAAACAAGCACGAATTTCACATTTATTCTTAAAAAAAATAATCGGAAATGAAAGCTCGACGACTTCTACGTCTAGATACTGCACTTGCGGTGGTAGCCGTAGCGGCCAGAGGGTGGAATTCCTAGGCCTGGCTTCGCAAAAAGCACGCGCGCGGCGCGTTGTGTTAGATCCTGACATGTTGTTTTATAGATCCTTATCAATAATTTAAATATGAGAAGTAACACAAAGTGACAAGGAGCAAAAATAAAAACTCGTTTCGGTGTTTTGTTTTGTTTGAATTTTCGCAGGCAACCTTCGCGTATTCTCTTAATTACAGCTATTTGCACCGGTGTTCCTTAAAAACAAACTAAGTTAGGTAGAGGCTAAGCTTAAGGTGAACCTTTAGGTTGAGTTGCTTTGCACGGACCAAATCTTAGCTAAGAATTGAAAGCTATTGGCAACAGCGCAAAAATGCGTATTTTAAGGCAGAAATGAAGATGGAGGTACCTATTTCATGAAAATATCATGGAGGGTTTTGAGAACTCACAACACACAGTGTCTGTTTTTTGTGACCTGAGCAAAGCTTTCGACTGTGTTTCGCATGACATTCTACTTGACAAACTACCATACTATAAATTTTCACAAGATAGTATACTTCTCATTAAATCATATCTTACAAAACGTCTCCAAACAGTAATTTATAACAACTTAACATCAAATAAACAAGAAGTTACCACTGGCGTTCCGCAGGGGTCAATTATGGGCCCAATCTTGTTTCTTATTTACATTAATGACTTGCCAACAGTGGCTATAAATGAGTTGTACTTTAATTTTGCTGATGACACAACTGGACAAGTACAGGACACAAACTTACAGACAGCTCTAGACATGTCAGGCGAGGCACAGTCGAGGGCTGGGCAATGGTTTGCAATTAACAAGCTTTTTTTAAATGAGGCCAAGACTCAGAAGTACGTATTTTCACTTAAAAAAATTGCGCCCATGGAAGATAATGTAAAATTTTTAGGGGTAACTCTTGATCAAAAACTCTTATGGGATGCCCACACGGAAATAACAACAAAAAAATTGAGTAAAAATGTATTTCTTTTGAGAAGCCTATCACTGTGTGTCTCGTTGAGGACTGTAAAACAGGCCTATTTTTCTTTGTTCCACTCCCACTTAAGTTACGCCTTGCTGGTCTGAGTCTGGGGCCATGCCAGTGGGGCTCAAAATGTTTTTGCTATGCAAAGGCGAGCTGTCAGAGTGGTAGCAGGCTTGAGTTACCGGGAGGAGTGCAAACCAGCCTTTATAAAACACAGAATATTGACATTGCCATCAGAGTTTATTCTGCAAAATCTTGTTTATGTTAAAAACCATCTTAACTTGTATACCAGCTTTATTGATATCCACAACCATAACACAAGAAATAAAAATAATTTAAGACCTAACTATCATAGATTGCAAAGATGTCAAAATGGCCCAGGATACCATGCTGTTAAACTTTTTAATAAACTACCAGAACAGGTAATTAACCTAAGCAACACGTTGTTTAAGAAAAAAGTCAAAGATATGCTTGTTAGTAAAGCCTTCTACTCCCTGGATGAATATTACAACTCCACACTCAGTTGGTCGAATAACAAGATGCATTCTGAGTGATTGCATTTGTTGGGAACTCAAGGAATGAAATAAAAATAAAAACAATAATCTGTTTATAATCACATCAACTACATGTATTAGTATTTATTTTATAACTGTGCCAAATTTGTCAAATTTGTTTATTTGTCTGTTTGTCTTATATAAATAACTGTTAAACTTTTTAAAACTTATTTGATTGTTTCAAAGTGATGTAATATAGATCTAGATTTGAGTGTTTTATTATTTTAAATTTTTTTGTAATATTGATGTACTGATTGATATATATTTTTTTGACTTGTGTAAGCACTATGTTTGTGTAATAGCATCAATAAAGAATTTGATTTGATTTGATATTTCATGCAAGGAATTTATCCGTTAACTTATCCTTGCCATTAAAATATAAATATTTTGGTTAATTTCGTCTTTTCTTTCATAAGTTATATCACGTGGATATTATTTTGAATATATTTTTGGCATTCTTGTGCAAAATTCTGTAGAAATTACCCGACGCACAAAAATAAAACCATTAACAAATAACTAAATAATAGCAACAACCATAAAAAAAAACTTCGGAAAACTTGTTTTTGCTATGAAAATAAACATATATATTTTTTTTTGCTTAAAACATGCAGTCTTCGGAGAAAAGGCTCTTGGAACCTTGGATATTACAAATACAAAATCATCAATAATCAAAGTCAACCAGAATTCTGTCAAAAAAAGAAAACAAAACCCAAAAATGAGGTTAAAATCCAACTAAGCGGAGAAAATCTGAGGCTTAACTTAACTAGATTTGAGGTGAACCCGAAACAGCGGTGCAAAGCAAAATCGTAGTTTAAGTTCCACTTAAGACCAAGGCTGACCTTAAGTTGTAGCGGTGCAAATAGCAGTTAGTGCCTCAACTAATATTCATATTATTTTCTTTCGTCCACCTTATGACGACAGATTCTCTACAGCCGTCTCTGGGACTATTATGAGAGGTTACAAGGTTAGCAGGTAAGGTTATGGAATAACCCGACTACCCTTGAGATCAGAGAATCCCTTCCCATAAAAAATACTGTTTATAGTAAATAAAATCGTCTAGTTTTTTATGAAAAATTATGTTAATAGTACTTTGTACGAAAATTATTATTAATTAAAATATCAAATAAAATTACATAACATGACCTACCTCTCCGGGTACACCGCCATGGGCATGAGAATTCCTAACCAATTTGGTGAAGGCATTCCTTGCGAAAAGACTCGTTCTTCCAATCATTGCGTGATTTAACTAGAATTTAGTTGAAAAGCCTAAAATGGTAAATTTAAAAGGTGATTAAAAAATCGAGGAGGATTTGTGTTCAAAGTTACATAAAATGGTGGCTGCTGGTGCTGGTGGCTTGGATGACACTAATGACAATTTGAGTAATCTATTTCATGTCATTTGTCAATTTTATAGCGAATTCCAATGGCCAAACTCGTGCGGCACGAGTACAATAGTTGTATTCCTTTCACACCTAGGAGGAACTCCAGAACAGCTCCGGGGCGTTACGCGCTTATTCCTTTCGAAAAGTGTTTATTGCACCACGCATCTGTAGCTCACAAATCCGGGGTGACAAACACCGGAGCAAGTAAAATCTGTTTTTTATTTAAAGATAAAAGTCAAACTGACATTATGTTGGCAATACAATGTAAAATTGTCAATGCTTTCAAATTTTTTATGTAGAAAAGGCTTGTATTGCTAATAGTACAGGAGGTGGCGCCAAAAACATGCAAGAGTTTTCGCAAGGCGGATATTTTCAAAATAGGTCGTACTTTAGTGCTAGAATGCTAGTGTACAGTCAGCACTCACAGTTCCGGGACAGCTGGCTCTGGGACGCGGGCAAAGTTGTAATTTTAAGAAGCATCTAAACTGTTTTCTCAAAGCTCAAAATTTATAGAAATTTTGCACATTATCTGTTTGAAGGTCACAGATAACGTATGTAAATCGTCAGACGTCTAGTTCGTTGCAAAAAGGGGGTCAGACATCCTCAAAGTTTTTATTTTATGGCATTTTCTTCAAATATATTTGTCAAATACCTGCAAAAATATATTTTGACAGGACACCGAAGAAAATGCCATAAAATAAAAACTTTGAGGACGTCTGACCCCCTTTTTGCAACGAACTAGACGTCTGACGATTTACATACGTTATCTGTGACCTTCAAACAGATAATGTGCAAAATTTCTATAAATTTTGAGCTTTGAGAAAACAGTTTAGAGGCTTCTTAAAATTACAACTTTGCCCGCGTCCCAGAGCCAGCTGTCCCGGAACTGTGAGTGCTGACTGTACACTAGCATTCTAACACTAAAGTACGACCTATTTTGAAAATATCCGCCTTGCGAAAACTCTTGCATGTTTTTGACGCCAGCTCCCCAACTATGTGTTGTCAACAAAGTTACTAAATTTTTGACTTGGGGAATTATCTTTAAAAAAAAAACAGACTTCTCGATTGTTTTAGGGCCAAATTTATAGTCGTCCCCTGAGTCTTCCTTGAAGGTCGTGAGTTTAGAATGGACACTTGCTACTATTTGATAAGTTTGTCATGTCAATTCTAAACGTTCAAGGCCTCCTTAAGGTCTGAGGAAGCCTCAAGGAGCGACTATAAATTCGACCCATAAACACTTGAAAAGAATACAACTAAAATCTGTTTTTTTTTTTAAGATAAAAGTCAAAATGACATTATGTTGGCAATACAATAGTTGTATTCCTTTCAAGAGCCTGAAACACTCGAGCTACTCGCTCCGGTGTTTAGTCACCCCCGATTTGCAGGGAACAGATGCGTGGTGCAACAAACACTTTTCGAAAGGAATAAGGGCGTGAAGCCCCGGAGCTGTTCCGGAGCTCCTCCCACGAGTGAAAGGGATACAACTAATGTAAAATTGTCAATAACCATTTTCACGTGGCTCCGGTTTAACAAACCGCAACATACCGCTCAAATTCGAGTGGTAGGTATCCATCTCGTCACTTTGTAACCGGGTTAGAAAACGGTTAGAATTAGAAAACGGTATGTCATTTCTCTAACCGGAGCCACGTGAAAAGAACTAATGGTTTCAAATTTTTTATGTAGAAAAGGCTTGTGTTGCCAACATAGTTACTAAATTTTTGACTTGGGGAATTATCTTTAAAAAAAAAACAGACTTTAATATATTTATTCGTCTACCATTGGCCATTTCAGTGCAAGTTTTTGAATCCCATTGAGAAACTGGTTCGATACTTTTTGCCCTGAGTGCACTCAGTTTCAGTGCGCTCAGTTTTTGCCAATGGAATTAGAGTTTGTTCGATTGAGGTTTGAACAGTGTTGCAAACGTACGGAAAAACCAGAAAAAGATATGGCGGTATTTTTGAACTAACTTACCAGAAAATTATTAATCTTTATGCATTAAATAAACAAAAGCAACGCAGGGAACCCAAAGTCCGGAACCGAACCATAATATGAAAACCCACGTACATCTCGCCGGATTGCCGATCAATTTGCGAAACGGCAGATTCTGCAAATCGAAAAAATCAGGCCAAAACTTATGGGATAAAATGGAAAACGTACCTCTCCCGGTGTGCCTCCTTCCCTATGACTCATTGCACGATTGAAAACAGGATTCGTGCGATATTTAGTGCACTTTTGGAGTCTTTGGAGAGCTAAAATACGACTTGCCAACATTTTTAATGATCTTTTTGACAAAACAAAATACTGTTGTCAGTTTTGTTTAAAAAACTACGGATGTCGCCATAGACACGCGAATCACATAGATAGCAACAGACAACAGATGGCACCACCAATTGTGGTCTAGCCAGTCTAGCCGGGCTGCGTTCAGGAATGGCTACAGCCAAGCCAAAATTGGCATTTTGCGTTCGAGTTCGGCTCCAACCTACGTGGTTCGGCATTACCAGGTGGAGGGGGAAAATTAGGTTTTGGCATTAGCATCGCCGTCTTTGAACGCACCCCGGCATTACCGGTGGAGAGGGAAAAGTGGTTTTGGCATTAGCATTGCCGTCTTTGAACGCACCCCCGGTCTAGCAGTTCCAGCAGCTGACTTTTATTTATTTACTTTTTTTAAATTTTCTTGTTTTTTTTATTTACTCCTTTTACTCCTTTTTGGGTTTATTCAAAAGACTAATCTTAATTTCAAATGAAAATCTCTAAATACTCAGCACGATACCCAAAAATTAAATTAAATAAATATGTCCAATCCACCAAAAAAAAAACAAAAAAAACCGCTAAAATGTTTAGATTCTAATCTATTGTTTAAAAAATTTCGTCAGGAATAGTGATTAGGAAATTTCATTATTCTTTCCTTGTTTTGTGTTAAGGCAAAGTTCATTTATAAATAGTATCGCTAAAAATGTTGTGCAAGCAGGAGGTGATTTTTCGTAACTTAAAACTGGTTCAATTGTTAAGAAAATATTCTACAAGTGTTCTTAAAACCAAAATAGATATAAATTCCGATAGTTATCTGGTAAATAATCAATACCTACTCAAAAACATCTCTAATATTCTTCACCTTATTTAGGAAAATCATGCCCATATATCCAGCCTGGTCAAAAACCTGCAACAAAAAACCAATGAAGTTCTTCAAGGAGGCGGTGAGAGGCTTATTGCGAAGCACACGGGCAAAGGAAAAATCTTCGTCCGAGACCGTATTGATTTGCTTTTAGACAAAAATTCTGCCTTTTTAGAACTATCGGCTTTAGCGGCCAACGAATTGTATCAGGATACTATTAATTCAGCAGGAATTGTTACTGGAATTGGAAAAATTCATGGGTAAGAGTTCTGTGTTTAGAATTAGTTAATTCAGTTCAATTCAATTCAATTCAAAACCAGTGATATAAGCGAAGGCCTCCTTTAGGTACAAATATTTTTTTGAAAATAAAAATGCTTTAAAATAAAATTGAGAAATATAATGACCAATATCGAACGATATACTTAACTGGTACATTCCTTCCAGTTGCCACTGCTGAAAGTTCATTTAAGTAAATTAAAAATATTGAAAAATTACTTGAAAAATGCCATAAGTTAGCATAGACTGCATGATCTTTCTATTCTGTCTATCAGACATAGCACAGCATCCAATATGGATTTTAATGCTTTTTGATTTTGTATGGTCTTGTATGTCATTTCTTTTTTCTTTTTTTATCCATTTTTGTTACCCCTGCTACCTATATAGGTATGTTTAATACTCCGTTTAATATGAGTTTTATACAATGACGCTTTATCGCCCTCAATGTAAAAAATGTTCTCTGTTCTTTTAAATTATACATTTTTAAATTATTTCTCTGTTCTTGAATAGAAACAGTTTTTTAGGTTTTATTTGTATTATTCTTACTTTTAAGTTTTATTTTTTATGACCGATTTTTATTCCTTAAATGTTTTGTGAGCTTTTCTATTTTGAGTATGTATACATTTAGACTCGCATTTAGATATTTTTCTTTACTACAACTGGGTACTTCATTTTTTAGACATAGGATCGGCTTTTGTGAACAAATATTTATATTCACACAATAAAGCACATTTTGAGTTGAGTTGAGTTGATATTCGGTACTTATTTAGCTGTTCCAAAAAAAATTATCCAATGGATGAATGAGCCATCTGGGCAGCCATAGATATTAGATAATCAAAATTTGAACTATTACTGGCTCTTGATTCTCTGGAAAACTTTCCTGGAACCAATCAAGAGCCAGTAATGGTCAAAATTTGAAATTTTATCAACTCTGGATTGGATAGAGAATTTTTCTAACGGCATTCAAAGCTCAAGAGCCGATAATAATCAAAATTTCAAATGATCATTAGCAGCTCTTAAGTTGATATCAATTAAAATTTCTTCTCCCGCAGCTTCTAATTGGCTCAATAAAAATTATTCAATAGATCAAGAGCCACAGATAATCAAAATTTGACCTTTTACTGGCTCTTGATTCTTTAGAAAACTTTCCTAGAGCCAATGAAGAGCCGGTAATAGTCAAAATTTGAACTTTTATCAACTCTGGATTCGCTAGAGAATTTTTCTAAGGGCATTCAAAGCTCAAGAGCCAATAATAATTAAAATTTTGAATTATCATTAGCAGCTCTTAAATTGATATTAATCAAAATTTCATCTTCCGCAGCTTTTAATTGGCTCAAAAAAAATATCCAATGAATCAAGCAAGAGCTACAGATAATCAAAATTTGAACTCTCACTGGCTCTTGATTCATTGGAAAACCTTCCTAGAGCCAATGAAGAGCCGGTGAAGACTCAAGAGTCAAGAGCCAATAAATAATCAAAATTTAGCGCCGCCATTGTTCAAAACATGCTATATTGTCGAAAGAGTTAGCTTATTGACAAAGCTGTGAAAATAAAAATATCTATGTAGGTACCTACACCCTTAATTTTTCATTTATTTATGTTTATTAACGGACTTGCCATTTTACTAAATCTACTTATACAAAAATACACTTAAAACAAAAGAGTTAAACTAACACAATTACTTGAACTTTGATTACATTACATTAGGTACATTACATTAAAAGTTTCTTAACCTGTTGAATAAAACTAGGGTTCGAGCAATTGAAAACATCAACATCATCACCCACACAGTTCATTTGGCGACACATTCTCGTTAAAGCCGAATTCTGGCCATAGTACGATGGTTTCAATTCACAGTAACTTGTGTGCTAACTATATATTTTTTTTAACCTGTTTGGTAAAATTTCAAAAGCAGAGAAAAAAAAAAAGAATTAAAGAAGTTATACATACATATCACAGTCAGTGTGTAAATAAGACTGAACAAATTGTATAGGTAAAACTGAGGGTAAAACAACATACAACACCAAATATCATAAAAAATATATGTTATAAAACAAGAAAATAAACACATCAAAAAATAAATTAAAACAAGTGTAACATGAAAACACTGAGACAAACAATAAACTGAGAAAAATAAAATTCAAAATAACAAAAAATACATATGTATAAAAATAGTTAAAGCTCGATGAAATTTATTAAAAATATCAACAATACAGCATAAGAGCTGTGTTGAAAGAAAATCCTATACTATTATAAAAGACCACAAAATATACTGCAGTAAAAAATGCAAAGGCTTTGCGCTAGATGACCCTAATACAAACGAAAGTGAACTAGTCCAGGAATTGAGAGAGATCATATTTGATCTACAACAAGAGCTACATGAAACATCTACAGCACTGGAAAGGAAAAAACGAAACTCTGTCGTATTTGAACAGTACGTTGAGGAAGCCGAGGAGAAATAAAAACAAGAACTACTTGAAAAGCAAAAAAGAATTGAAAAAATGCAGTCCAAGATCGACGAAGAAATCCAGAAAAAAAATAAGGAAACTGAGAGATCAAACGAAAACTTGACAAAGCTGAGCGAACAATTTAAGGCTTTAAATGATAACCTGGAGAAAAATCTAGCAGAAACAAAGAATCAGCTGATCAAAGAAAAAAAATCATCCTTACAACTTAATATACTCAGCTCCATCAAGATATATTAAAAAGAGAAGAAGACATAAGGACACTCAGAGAAATTGAAGTGGCTATCTGCGGGAAATAGCAGAACAAAAAAACCAGAACATAAAGCTGGAAAATAAAAATAAGGAACTTCTGCGGCAAACTAAAAAAATAAAAATAAATCAATTAAACCAAGCAAATCAATACACGCCAGAAAATGACTTCGATATCTCAAATTTGAAAGCCACCATAAAAAACCTGGAAGACAAGATCAAGGACATCGATGGCAAAAGGAAAATAGAACGTCAAGCATATAGCGAGGATATAGCAAAATATAGAGAAGACATAGCTAACCTTAACCAAAAAATTGCAAGTCTAATTCTAACAAATACAAACATAAATGAAACAGCCAAGACACTCAGGAACAATGCTAAAAATTTAAGGCAGAATACAACTGGAAACAAAACCAACCAATTAAACTCTGGTTCCAACGAAAAAATAGTAGATGCTGATAAACAAATAGGTCCCATGCTGGTAAATGAGCGAAAAAGAAAGGCTCAAATACTAATATTGACAGGAAAAAATGGATATAACTATGGTAAAGTTTGCAAGAAAATCTCCGAAAACAAATACGACATAAACTCTCAATATGCAACGAGCAACATGAATGGAGATATACTGGAACATCATGAAAAACTGTCGCAGCGGCTAGATATGAATGACTTCAAGATTATTTTCACAAACTCGGAAAACGCAAGACGTGGAAAGCAAATGAAGGAAGATGTGATAAAATTGGTAATTGAATCTTCGAAAAATACAAACCTTATATTTATTGGTGCACCTTAACCTTATGTGCCAGATAGGCCAATTCTAAATGGGTTTATAAACAAACAGAATCAAGATATACAAAACTGCGTAAAGACAAGAAATGCTACCTATATCAACATCAACAGGGTGATTAAATCATTTAACATCGATAACAATGGCGAACTCGACTATCGTGGCAAGTGGCTACTAATTAATTATATCTACAAGCACTACATAAATACAACGACGACATCCACACAGACCGAGGAACATCCTGACTCGAAGGAAATAGTAAACCAGCTAGAGAAACAAATACAAACATGGTCAAGACCTCGACAAGCAGTCCGCAATCAACCTAAAGTTCGCCTTACGAGTCTAGCACTATGGAAAGAATGCGGATAAAAAAATTGCAATATTGCCTATTTGACTTCCAATAGAAAATACCTGAATATTTATCTATGTTACATACCTACATTTATAAGGAAAAAGTAATATTTAAAAACCCTGCGCCCACGTCTATGACAGGCAGCATAGAGCTCGAAATGAATGGCGTTATTCCCCCTTGCCCTTCAGATGTCGTAGAGCTAGACTCGTAAAGCGACCTATACAGATGGTACGGCACCGAACCAAAACCAGTCACATTTTTTATCCCAGTCACATTCTTTATCCCACCCAGAACTACGCCATTGCCAACACCAAAACCAAAACAAATAAAAACAGATACAATCGTAATAAACCACATAAACGCCCAAAACTTAACCAACAAGCTCAACCTCTTTGAATTAACAACAATAGAGCAGAAAACGGATTTTTTATGTATAACAGAAACATGGTCAGCCGAAGAAGGAGCCGTGAACTTGGTCTTCAGGGGATACAATCTACTATCCTACTATTGCAGTAAGGTACATATACATGGGCAGCAATCTATGCCAAAGACTCGCTGAAGGAAAAACCTATCCCAGAGATTAAAAATTATAGCATCGAAATGGAGGTTGAATGCTGTGCTATTCAAACAAAAATCAGAGCGACACCCACTGCGATAATAGCAGCGTATAGACCACCAAATGGTAAGTTGGATATCTTCATTTGTCAAATGACTGCAGTACTGTCAGAAATGGCAAAAAAAATCGACCACATTATACTTTGCGGCGACTTAAATATAAATAGCATGAAAAAAGAGGATCCAAAATACAAGATATTGCAAGATATGTCTACCAGGAGAAATAAAAACTGAACAGACTGAAAAAAGATTCAAAGATAAATTGAAGCAATTTCTCTGCAAAAATTGTTTCTATTCCTTTAGTGACTTTATGAATAAACATGTAAATGTGAATGTTTAATACTATGTCTCTCTACGTCAACACAATTTAGTCGCTCTATGTTATATAATATAATAATTAATTAATAATAGTTATATAATAATTAATTGTTGTGACTGTTTATGTACTAAATTTATTGAAATACTTGATGTTATTATTGTTAACTTTTTATTATTAGGTAGGTACCTACTATTATTTTTTTATTATTACTATATTTTTTACTATTATCATGATTCAATATTGTGACAAAGCCACATTTATATTGTAAATCTAAGGTGAATAAAATGAAATTAAAAAAAAAAGAAAAATATATACTTATCAAAAATAGGTCACATCATCCTGTAGTAGGTAATACCCTCGGTATTACTCTAACCAGCTGCCCCAAATTTGATTAGCTATACAGGGTGTATATTTTAAGCGATGCCACTATGGCTATATCCGAAAAGGTAAGAGCTACAAGGTCGGTTAAATTAGAAAAAAGTTGCCTTTTTTGATGCTCATTCAAGACTTGTTTACAGTGTTGCCAAAGTCCTTTAAGTTTATGAAATACAGGACGATTTATAAAAAAGGCCTAAAATTATTTCGTCAATTATTTTGAAAACTATTGATATTCGGGACACAATTTAAATTTGAAAGTTTTATAATTTTTTTCGCTCTACGACATGGCATCTTCAAATTTTAAATCCGACGTTTCGTGATCGAGATTCGAGATACTATCATCAACTTCATTTTTTTAAATACGGACCTGGATTTTTTATGTCATTTTTGGAAAGAGAATTGAGGGCACTTCCTGAAAATGACATAAAAAATCCAGGTCCGTATTTGAAAAAAATGAAGTTGATGATGGTATCTCGATCACGAAACGTCGGATTTAAAATTTGAAGATGCCATGTTGTAGAGCGAAAAAAATTATAAAACTTTCAAATTTAAACTGTGTCTCAAAAAACAATAGTTTTCAAAATAATTGACGAAATAATTTTAGGCCTTTTTTATAAATCGTCCTGTATTTCATAAACTAAAAGAACTTTGGCAACACTGTAAACGAGTCTTAAATGGGCTTCAAACAAGGCAACTTTTTTCTAATTTAACCGACCCTGTAGCTCTTACCGTTTCGGATATAGCAATAGTGGTATCACTTAAAATATACACCCTGTATATCTACACGATCATTATCATTTATCCAATACTCTTCAGTAAATTGCATCCTCACAGTCTTATGGCATTTATAACTAGGTAGTTGTTTTGTAATAATTTTGTAGTTCTTATCAGTAGGGGACTTGATTGAGGCATTTGTTGCAAAGTTTACCCTTCTGTGCTATTTTAAAAAAATACAAATGTGTTTGACCATCGTTTATTTAACAGCAAGTGTATTTATTTGAGCTATAGCACTCCAGTCAGTTTAATTTATACTTTTTTGTATTATAGTCAAGAATGTGTGATAATTGCCAACGACGCTACCGTAAAAGGAGGAACCTATTATCCAATCACTGTTAAAAAACAAGGCAGGGCTCAAGAAATAGCCCAAGAAAACAACCTGCCGTGCATTTATTTGGTAGACAGCGGCGGAGCCAACCTAAACTACCAATCCGAAGTGTTTCCTGATAGAGACCATTTTGGTAGAACTTTTTTCAATGAAGCGAACATGTCAGCAATGGGAATTCCTCAAATTGCAGTAGTCATGGGTCCGTGTACTGCTGGAGGCGCTTACATACCAGCAATGGCCGATCAGTCCGTTATAGTTAGAAAACAAGGCACCATTTATTTGGCTGGAGTTCCTCTAGTTAAAGCTTCTACAGGAGAAGATGTGACGTCTGAAGAACTTGGTGGGGCTGATATGCATTGCTCCCAATCAGGTGTCACCGATCATTACGCATTAAATGATGAACATGCGATAGATATTGCTAGAGATATAATTAAAAACCTCAATAGGAAGGCTAATAATGTGTTTGGAGACAGTTTTGAACAGCCGTTGTATAATCCTGAAGACTTATATGGGATTATAAATAAGGATATCATGAAATCGTTTGATGTTAAAGAAGTAATCGCCAGAGTGTTTGATGGCTCAGAATTTGATGAATTTAAAAAGAAATATGGAGAAACTTTGGTGTGTGGTTTTTCAAAGCTCTATGGTAAAACTGTAGGGGTTTTAGGCAACAATGGAGTATTGTTTTCGGAGAGTGCCTTGAAAGGAGCACATTTCATACAAATGTGCTGTCAAAGGAATATTCCTTTGATATTTTTACAGAATATTACCGGTTTTATGGTTGGTAGGCAAGCCGAAACTGGAGGGATTGCTAAAAATGGAGCTAAACTGGTTACAGCAGTTTCATGTGCTCAAGTACCTAAAATTACTGTTATCATCGGTGGATCCTTCGGAGCAGGAAATTATGGTAAGAACTTGTTTCATGATAAGGTTATTTTGTCTTTCATCATTAGACAATGTAGAAGAATTTTTTTTTTTATGGTAAAAGAAATAAAGAACAAGAGCAGGTTCAGGAGGTGGTGTTATAGGCCTTTGACTGCAAATTTCAACCTTCAGGATTATTGTTAAAAGATATTTTTATTCACAACACAACAAAACTGAGAACACTGGTTAGTGTGACAATGATATACATATATTACAGGGCTAGAATTTAGAATTTGCTAAGCATATTTTATTCCATATTTGGAGTTTTCAACTTCAAGAAGTTCTCTCACAAATACCATTATTTCATTATATTATTAATTGAAAAAAAATCCTATTTGTTCTAGGTATGTGTGGTCGAGCGTTTTCGCCTAGGTTCCTCTACGTTTGGCCTAATGCTAGAATATCAGTAATGGGCGGGCCCCAAGCTGCTGGAGTACTTTCTCAAGTTGCCAATAAAAAATGGAAAGAAGGCGAAAAAGAGCAATTTGAAAAGCAAATTATCGATAAGTTTGATGGGGAAGGTTCGCCATATTTTAGTACTGCCAGGCTATGGGACGATGGAGTTATTGATCCTAAGGATACAAGAAAAGTGCTCGGTTTGAGTTTGGCGGCTGCATTGAATAAGAAAATACCGAAAACTAATTTTGGTATTTTTAGAATGTAAAATTTGATTAATAAATTAAAGCATTTTGTTACCAAATTATTTGTTTTTATTTTCTATTTTGAAACAACAGTTGTATCTCTTTTTTCAATATATCTCAGTTGCTTCCTCTTCATATTCTTCAACTTTTTAGTATTTGTAATTACTTGTACTATTTCTGACTTCTTCCTGTTTTCTTCTTGTTTCTTCAAATTGTCACGTCTTCTTTGCTTTTTCATTTCGGCCTCTTCTTTTTTTTGTGCGATTCTCTCTCTAGAAGCTTCCTTAATTTTCTGCAGTTTTTCTCTAAGGGCTTGTTTTTTCTCGAACGAACTTTTCAAACCTCTCGTTTTGATTATCGAGGAGAATTTCTTTTTCTCGGATTTCCACACTCTCCCTGATTTCGGTTTGCCTTTTGGAATTGGAACACTTTGAACTGCCTTTGGTTTCCTACGAACGATTGTATTCAAATTACAGATTAGTTAATATTCATTTGAAATCTTACTGTTTTTGCTTGGTTGTTGTCGTTTTAGTATCATTTTCTTCATTTTTATTGGCGTTTTTGGTGTCGCCTAGAATATCTTCCATACGGATAACTTTTGGAGTTTCATTTTTGGCTGACATTTTCTGAAATTATTTAAAATCACACAAGAATGAAAAAAATATACATTCACATTCAACTTTCGATAAAAACAAATCACACGTGTTTATGTTTTTCAAAAAGTATACCTAACCTCGGTTTCTAGAGGCAATGCATTCAGCGGACGTTCAGTTGTTGCTATGGCATTTGAAGGCACAGGGCACAGGTTTAAAAATAAAATAAAGAATTTCAAGTTGTGAGTAGTTTATTTAAATATTTGTAAACAAAAATTTTGAAAAAAATGATGAAAAAAAGGCATTGCAGATACAGTACATTTTGATGGTAAACAATTCCCTCACATTACATTATAAAATTTAAAAACAACTTTAGAAGATAAAAAAATAATGAATTTCTTAACCCAAAGAACAATCTCTGGTTTGCAGCGCAGATTAGTATTTCTTGAAAACAAGTCTACCGATAACTTTCACAATTTTTTAATTAATATTCGAGGTTTAGCCTTGAATAGTGTTCAATCAGCCGCAGCGGTAAAAGCCAAGAGCAAGAGCAAAATGGTAAGAATTTTACGGAATTTGTGTCGTTTCGTTTTTATTGATATTTTCCTCCATTTCTGGGATTCGTTCACTCATATTTGGGTGGAGGCAACAAGTAAAATCAATAATAACCTCAGTACAGTCCTCAGTTTATTACAAATAAAATTGAAAGTAATTTGTGAATTGATCTAGTTTCAATAATTTGGACATCATGGTAAATATAACAACTACAACTATTATATCCTATAACATCTGTTATATCTTGTAGTTTACACAAAATCGGGTTTTTCTTTTTTTTTTCTTGACTAGTTGACTAACAGCAGTGGACTAGCCAATGGTCAGTGACACGAAGAAATCATACTGCTTTCTAGCATTTCCTGAATTTGTTTAACAATTATTTGCCTCGTTTTTTCTGTATGGGCGACTTTCTATTGGTTTGGCGTTCTCTATTTCGATTGTGTGTTCTGTGAGATTTGTCCTGCCCATGCAAAAATATCTGATTTTATGTTGATCCTATTTCTCGCCAATCCGTCCAGGTTGTATTTACAACTACATATAGCCTATGTTATCTGTCATTTTGCTTGTATCCCTCATAATTTTCAGTTCGGCTAAGTTCACCAGAACCAAAACGGATTGTAAACAGTTTACAGATACCAACAGAATATGTTGGCTAAACTCTTGTTTCTGCTGAACGATTCAACTTTTCAATGATAGAACGTCACCTTCTGAATGACAGGTCACCACACAGAACACAGTGTTGAAAATTATAACCACTCTGAAATTATGCTTGCAAAAATGGCGACCGTTTGCAAAACATGTTTGGTTTTAACACAAACGCAACGTAGCGTTCAGCAGAACTACAGTGACTCTATTACCCACAGTGGCGACAATTGCTGTCTTATTTTTGATTGGTTCTAAAATCCCATATATTTATATTGAAAACGCGGCCATCTTGTTCCCACCTATTGCTTATTTCAAATATGAATATATGGGATTTGGGTGAACATCCATCATAAAACATGGAAAACAACGTATTTGATGGACCTAATAAGAGTCATCAAATACGTCGATTTCAATTTTTTATGATAGATGTCCATTTAAATCCTATATATCAATATTTAAAGGTAAGAAGAGCTTGGGAACAAAATGGCGCCGGGACCTCTATTGTCGCCACTGTATGTAAAAGTTTATTTAGCCACTGTAAGCAGAACAATCGTAAACCGTTTACCAACATTTGTATCTGGTGAACGCGGCCATGTCTCCTTGCCAATAGTCCAAATTTCCTGGGATGACGTAATACCAAATAAAGTTGAAAGGAATATGGTTACTGTATATCTTAAGGCTCTCATAATATATCACAGATTGTTTAGTGAGAGTACTTTTTGGTATTGGTAGATAACCCGAGAGATAACCTTATACAGTGTGTCCACTTAAGTTCGCAGCATATGAGAAACTTTTTTATTATCAATTTTACGAAAAAAAGGTATTCTTTATAAAAGTTCCTGCTTCTTGAAAAAATAATATTAAACTACTAAAATTTGAAATAGCATGTACAGGGTGGTCCCCGGGGTGGTCAAAAAATAGAAAAATATACAGGGTGTTTGCTAAGTACGGTTCGTAACTTCAGGATGTGATTCCTTACAATATTTTAAGAAAAAAAGTTCCCATAAACATGTGTCCGGAAATGCGTAGTTTCTGAGGTTCTAGAAAAAATCGTTTTTTCAGCCTAAAAATCCATTTTCCAATATTTTTTTCAAATTTGGCAGGGCTGTTTGTGATAACGAAAGGTGTATCTTTTGACTGTAATGTTACTTGCTGAATCTGGAAAAAATATCAAAGGTTTTAAAAAATAGTGATGTGCCATTTTTCTTCTACTTTTACCGTTTTTTAACAAAAAAATTTGTATATTTTTCCATTTTTTGACCACCCTGTACATGCTATTCCAAGTTTTAAGGTTTAAAGTCAGGCCTATAGTTTATTACAGCAACGCGAGATGTCAATGCTGTCGCCCCTATAGTGTGCCCTACAGTGACTCTATTAATACTCTTATAACAGTGGCGAGAATGGAGAGTTAGCTCCGCCCACCCGCCATGTTGTTGCAAACTTTAATATTTGCGGCTTAGCTGTATTATGACGTTCAAAAGAAATTAATTTAATGAAACTTGTAGAGAGGTACTGTAGGTTGATGATAAAACTGTTGCTGTCCTTTTCTATTTGCCTGTGTTAAACAAAGAGGCAGCTAATTGGTTTGCTCGCTGCGCAATAAACAACGTAGAAGTCAAATTCCTCCTTTTCGTGTTTATAAGCCATTGTTTCCTTCTTTCCGGATCCCGTGAAAAGCGTTTCATCAAGAATCCCTTTTTTGAAGAGTTGCTGTAATGTACGGCCGCACAACCTGACATTGTTTTCGTATCCTAAAGACCTAACCTAAAATTACAAAATTGAAAATCTCTAAAATACGTTTAGTTGTAGACTCTACAGTGGCTAAATAAACCTTTACATACAGTGGCGACAATAGAGGTCTCGCCGCCATCTTGTTCCCAACCTCTTGTTACTTTTAAATATTAATATATAGGATTCAAATGGACATCTATCATAAAAAATTGAAATCGACGTATTTGATGACCATTATTAGGTCCATCAAATACGTTATTTTCCATGATTTATGATGGATGTTCACCTAAATCCCATATATTCATATTAAAAAGTAACAAGGGGTTGGGAACAAGATGGCGGTGTTTTCAATATAAATATATGGGATTTTAGAACCAATCAAAAATGAGACAGCAATTGTCGCCACTGTGGGTTATAGAGTCACTGTAGTAGACTCCAGTACACATAAAACTATGGATTCTCACATATTTTAAACTATTTTTTCATTCAATATTTGGAGTGGAAATTCGTTTGAAAATTTAGAAATAATGTTAATAATATTAGGTAGGTACTCACCCCCAACACGAAGTTTTTAAATCTGAATAAAATTGAGACGCCAACTGGAAATATCGCACAGATTAATGTTCAATGTACAAAAGTTTCTATATAATGAGCAATAATAAGTACCAGAATCCAATTAATAAATTGGAAAATCACAAAATTTACAAAATAACGGCAATATTCTCATGAAAACAATGTAAACAAGAACCAATCAAAAATTGGACCCTCAATTGTCGCCACTGTCTTGTATAGAGTACAGTGACTCTATTACCACAGTGGCGACAATTGCTGTCTTATTTTTGATTGGTTCTAATATCCCATATATTTATATTGAAAACGCCGCCATCTTGTTCCCAACCCCTTGTTACTTTTAAATATGAATATATGGGATTTAGGTGAACATCCATCATAAATCATAGAAAACAACGTATTTGATGGACCTAATAAAGGTCATCAAATACGTCGATTTCAATTTTTTATGATAGATGTCCATTTAAATCCTTTATATTAATATTTAAAAGTAATAAGAGGTTGGGAACAAGATGGCGGCGGGACCTCTATTGTCGCCACTGTATGTAAAGGTTTATTTAGCCACTGTAGTATAGAGGCACTGTAGTGTGCCCTAACTTGACTGTCAAAAAAAAATAGAAATCTGCATTTGGTTAAATTATGTGATGGAACGTTTTTTCTTTTTTTTTGCGGAAATTCGAAGTATTATTCTGTTTTACATAAACAGGGTTGTAGTTTCGACCAACGCAAATAATTTTGAACCTTCATCCGTCGGATTTTTTTCTAAACAGTGTAGCTACGGGCGTATTTCCAACTATTTTTGCAGTAGCGAGAAAACTATAAGTACAAAAAATTTGAAAAAAATATATGTCGCGTAGAATTGCAATACAATGTAGTAGTTCGTAATAAAAATAATGGGAAACTTCATCTATTGGTTTTGAAATAAATGGTGAAAAACTACTTTTTTTCCAGTTCTTGCGATATAACTCAAAAATGAGGAGTCAAATTTGCTTAAAAAAATATGGATTAAAGTATATCGATAACCATATAACATATATTTTTTTTGGAATTTTTGATCACAAGGTTCAGAAAATAGGGGTTAACTTTAAACCTTAATAGTTTAATACTATTTATTTACGACTAATGTATAATGTGCGTATTATATTTGTGATTTTGGCAGTATAATGACATATGTTATTCCTCCAGGGATTAATGACGAGTAGCGGGATTAATGGTCATTATTCCACAAAAGTGTCAGTGTCAAACGTGTAGTGGATTTGTATTGAAAATTATGAGACGGATGAAATTTGTTCATTGAAAATCTCAAATAAATTAATTTGTCGTAAATAAAGTAGAGTATACTACTCGCAATAATGGCTATTATTCCCTCGGAATGTTACTCCCTCGCCGCTAACGCGGCTCAGTTCGTAGTAATCCTCGGGAATAATAGCTGTCATTATTGACTCGTGGTATAATCTACTATTTTTCAAGAAGCAGAAACTTTTATAAGGAATAACTTTTTTGCGTAAAATTGATAATGAAAAAGTTTCCCATATGCTGCGAACTTAAGTGGACACACTCAATCAATCAATCAAAATATACTTTATTGTCGGAAAATAAATTTCATCGACAAAGCATGATCTTAAATAATGTGCAAGTAATTAAAAATTATTGGGTTATAAAAAAAAAGAGGTACAATCAATAAAATAAAAAATAAACATAAACATAAATGTCAAAGCATAATCCTTAGCAACACATGTACAATTTTCACTACATCAAACTATAGAGTCATATAGAAGGTACAGCCAATACAGAAAAAACATAAAGGTTGCGGTCAGAACAAAAGAAAACAATGAAACGATAGATATTTATGTTATAAGGATCATAATGGTACTAGCCGTGAATGTTATCAGAGGAGGCGTCAGCCGAGTCTGATAACACGGCGTGTGCCATAATGATTGTTTATGATCCGAATTTCATACAATATTTTATATTCCGGCGATTATAGTCAATACATTTTTCTGTCGCATTTGAGTTTATCGGAAATAATTGAAAAAGGCTAATTTCAGTAATGTGCT